AATTCTCTTGATGAACATCAAAGAGCTTCTTGGCGAACATCACTGAGTTCCTTGTTCATGTTTTTCCATCTTTTGGTCAAGGGCTCTTTGCACATGACTATGACAGTAGTGTTCATGTCTAGACTCTAGAGCTAGCATTAATATATACCCTGGCTGGAGGTCTCCCACCTGAAGAAGATATTGTCAAATACAATAAAGAGGTTATTATAACAAAATCCTCATGACCAATCACTCTTCTTAAGTATGTTCGCTCAAACACTCGTGTTTTGCGCTTGTTTGATTTTTAGCACTCTTTTGATCCCGCCATTCAAGTCTTTTATCGATCATCGTGTATCTCAAAAGTTGTAATCTAAGTCAACCCAATACCTTAATTCTTTTTAACATGAAACAAAAGAGAAAGTCCTTGGAAAGGAAAAAGAACGAAATGTAAATGCGCACTCAAGTTAGTTTACCATGTGCAACTAGTGAAGAACTATGAATTTTGTTGTTCAAGACTAATGTGTAATTAGGAAAACCAAGAAGAAGACAAACAAAATTCAGTTTCGCAAACTCAGAAATAAAAATAAGCTTAAACTTAGTACTCTTGAGTTCTCAAGCAAAGGGTTAAAGGTCGCAGCTCTAAAAGGGAGCGCTGAGAAACAGAACTTACTGGAAGTCAAATGTAGAAGTTGTTAAGTTTAGCATTTTAATAATTTTCAATAATCTAAAGAAGTCTTGACGAATGACATCTCATTGTGTGCAGATTTGGAGAGCAACGACATTGATGAAAGGAAACAAGATCATACTCAACGGCTATGTATTTTGAACTTTACATCAAATGGAAAAATAATCAATCAATCAACGAACAAAGAAGGAAAGTCATCAATCAGCCTTGCTAAAGATCCTCAAGTGCTCAAGAACGGAAAGAGAGCTAATCACAGATAGAGACCAAATCAAGAACAATTTGCGGAAGTTCTAAACAAGGAGAAATGGAGGAACCAATTGGTCAAGATTAAGGATGAATCTAGTTACCCTTTCAAGCTAGATTCATGAGGCTACTCTTGGGTCTCACTCTTAGATGTATATGCCTCACAAGAAATGGTCTCCAATAATTACTGCCATACAATCCCAGAAGACAAAGAAATAGAAGACTCATCAAGCTATAAAGAAAGAAGTAGAAGGACATCGAAAGATACACAACTACATGATCTGTTTATACATCTTTCTAGTTCTTAGCACAAACACTTTATTCTTGAGTCTACAAGTGTCGCAAAAGATAGGAAGAGTTATAAAACAAAATGAGAGTTGTGTCAATATTAGAAAGAAACATTGTTGTTGTATATCGTTGGTGGTGAACGTACTAAAATCATCACTGCTGTAAACTCTTACGGAAGATCTAAGAGAACCCTTATGACCCAAGGGAAATGGACGTAGGTACCACACCTGTACTGAATCAGTAAAAATTTTTTATGCCTCCTTTACTTTTCTGTCTGCTCAGTTTATTTTTGCTGCGATCAATCACTGTGTAAAGTCTAGTTGACTAATTTCCTACATAGTCAATTAAGAATTTCAAATCGGCTACAATTCACCCTCCCCCCTCTTGTACTTTCAATTGGTATACTTAACAGTAAGTGAGGAAAAGATCATGGCATCAAATACAGTCGTTGGAGCACTATTTCAAGAAGGAACCTCTCACGTACGACCCCTTTACTTCAGTGGCCAGCACTTCTCTCATTGGAAAGTGTGCCTGGAGACCTATGCTATGTCATATGACATTAAGGTTTGGCGTGTGATCAAAAAGGGAAATTTTTCAATTCCGCTAAAGAAGGATAAAGACGATGAAATCATAGTTTCATTTGATCCTCTTGATTTAGATGATTACACTGAAGAACAATCAGCTATTATTCAAGTGAATTCCAAGGCGAAAAATCTGCTGTACAATGCTATAAGCGGGGAATAATACGAAAAGATATGTAGCTGTGAAACTGCAAAGGAAATGTGGGATAAGTTAGAAGTCACATATGAAGGAACCAACAGGGTGAAAGAGACAAGGATCAATCTCCTAGTTCGAGATTATGAATTGTTTCAAATGAAGGATGGAGAATCAGTGGAGGAAATATTTTCTAGGTTCAGCAAAATCCTTGGAGACTTTAAATCCTTTGGTATACCAATCAAAAGTGGAGAACAAGTCAGAAAAATTCTGAGAAGTCTTCCCACAATTTGGCAACCCAAAGTCATTGCTTTGGAATGTCAGGATCTTGACAAGATGTCCTATGATGAACTCAGAGGTGATCTAATCGCGTTTTAGAAAACACATTTAGATAGGCAAGTTCAACAAGAAAAAAAGAAGACAGTTGCTTTCGAAGCAACTGTGGCTGAATCAGAAAATGAAGAAGAAGAAGAAGGAGGAGAACAAGATGAGAATATAGCTATGCTCTCCAAAGTTGTAACAAACATGATGAGGAAAAACAGAAATAGCAGAAGAGGTAAATCAAATTTCAGAAAAGGGAAGATGAATAATGAAAATGACAAAAATGATGGAAATGCCATGATTGTGGAAAACACGAACACATTCAAGCCGAATGCAGGAATTTTCAAAAGAAGAACTCCTTTGGAGCTTGGAGTGATGAAGAAGAATCTGATCACGAGGAAATTTCCAACATGTGTTTCATGGCCATCAAAGAAAATAGCGACGAAGACTCAGGTGAGCTTGGTCTCATGGAAGATGAAGGAATAAGTAAGGTACGTCTTCCTACATATCCTAACTGTCATGAACTCCAAGAAAATATTGATATTGCTTTGCAGATATTGAGAAATTTCTTAATGAACTTCAAAAAATCCAAAGAGAAAAGAAAGACTCGGCTCTGAAATTGGAAGTGTGTGAAATTGAGAGAGATATGCTTCAAGATGAAGATAATGAACTTCAACTTCAACTGAACGGATTGCGAAAATCCACCAGTCATAGTTCGAGTAGATCAAATTAGTTTGCTCCTCATAACTCTCCAACTAGAAATAGAAATCTCTCTGCATGCACTCATTATGGCAAAATGGTCACAGCACTAACCGGCGCAGGCTTAGAATCAGAGGAGAAAAAAATTTCTGAAAATTCTAATAACCCCTCCTGTTTTTATTGTGGGAAACTCGGTCATACCTCTAATCATTGCAAGTTTAATAACAATAGCAGATGGGTCTGGTGACCCAATCCCTCTCAAGCTAATACTCAGAACACTAACCATTCAGGACCCAAGCAGTCTTGGGTACCTAAAAATAAGTAATCTGCTTTTGTAGGAACACCGCAAGAAGAACCAAAAAGGGAAATGGTACCTTGATAGCGCGTGTTCCAGACATATGACTGGTGACAAACAACTATTCAAAACCGTCACCAAACTAGATGGAGGAACAATCACTTTTGGAGACAAATAAAAAAGGAAATGTAATTAGAGTTGGAAGAGTTCCTCTCAGCTCAACATGTGATGTAGACGAAGTATACCTGGTTGATGAACTTGGCTACAACCTCCTCAGTATTAGTCGACTATGTGACAATGACAATGAGGTTCATTTTAAAAAGCATGATTGGTTTATTGAAGATGAATCAGGTAAAGTTATTCTTTATGGAAATAGAGACAGGAATGTCTATACCATCTGTAACATAGATAGTCTTGGTAATCAAATTTGTCTAGCCTCTATGATTGATGATCCTTAGGCATGGCATAAAAAACTTAGTCATGCCAGCATGCATACTATTCATAAACTTTCCAAAAATGATCTTGTCATTGGTCTTCCAAAATTAGATTTTTCAAATGATCAAATCTGCGATGCATGTCAACTAGGAAAACAAACTAGGTCATATTTTAAAGTTAAAAACATTGTTTCCACTACGAAGCCTCTTCAACTCTTGCATATGGACCTTTTTGGTCCAACTAGGACTGCTAGCATAGGTGGTAGAAAATATGCCTGTGTTATAGTAGATGATTTTTCTCGATTTACCTGGGTTATTTTTCTAAGTCGTAAAGATGAGGCATTAAGGAACTTTGAAGTCTTCTGCAAGAAGGTACAGCGGGAAAAAGGTTACTACATATCTTCTATAATATTTTATCATGGAGGAGAATTTGAAAGCAAAGCATTTGAGAACTTCTGTAATGATCAAGGGATCTCCACAAATTTCATCTCCAAGATCACCGCAACAAAATGGAGTGGTAGAACGCAAAAATAGAACCTTGCAAGATATGGAAAGAAATATGATTATGAAAAATTCACTTCCACACGACTTCTGGGCAGAAGCTGTAAGCACAGCATGTCACATCATCAACAGATGCTTAATTCGACCTATTCTCAAGAAGACTCCATATGAACTATGGAGAGGTAAAAGACCCAACATCAGTTATTTTCATCCTTTTGGTTGCAAATGCTTCATTCACAATAATGGAAAAGACAATCATGGTAAGTTTGATCCTAAAAGAGATGAAGGTATTTTTCTCGGATACTCTCCCTCTAGTAGAGCATATAGAGTTTTTAATAAGCGTACTCTTTCTATTGAAGAATCCATACATGTTGTTTTTGTGGACACTAACCCTCGCTTAAGGAATGAAAAACTTCCTGAAGATGAGGAAATTTCCATAGTTACAAAGTCTATCAATACAGGTGAAAACACTCGTGATGAGGTGACTGATCAGAAAGATCAGTCGGCTAACTATAGACAATCAGGAACCTTCTACAATTGAACAGTCAAATCCTGTTGAAAAGGAACCAGTATCAGTTGTTCCAAATGAATGGCAAAGTGAGCGTGGATATCCACATAAGTACATCATTGGAGATCCTCAGGAAGGAATGACAACTAGAAGGTCACTAAAGCAGACCTCAAATATTGCTCTCATATCCCAGTTCGAACAAAAAAAGGTGGATGAGGCCCTTGGGGATGAAAGTTGGATAACTGCAATGAAGGAAGAGCTTGATTAATTTGAGAAAAATAAGGTATGGGAACTCATTCCTACACCGCCAAATGCAATTATTGTTATAACAAAATGGGTGTACGAAATAAAGCTAGACTGGTCGCTCAAGGCTATCCACAGCAAGAAGGAATTGATTACGAGGAGACCTTCGCCCCTGTTGCCAGGTTAGAATATATTCACAGCCTATTAGCCTATGCTGCTCACAAATGTTTCAGACTATTTTAGATGTATGTGAAACGTTCTTTCTTAAATGGGTTCATCTCCGAGGAAGTATTTATTAAGCAACCTCCAGGATTTGTAAATGAATCCTTTCCAAATCATGTCTACAAACTGTCCAAAGCTCTGTACGGTCTAAAGCAAGCTCCTAGAGCTTGGTAAGAAAAGATGAGTTCATTCTTAGTCGAACATGAGTTTGACGGAGTTAATATTGATACAACTCTTTTTATCAAACGATCGTCTGAAGGAAAATATAATAGTACAAATCTACGTAGATGATATTATTTTTGGCAGCATTAATGCTGTTCTATGCAAGGACTTTTCAAACATCATGAAAGGGGAAATTGAAATGAGTATGATAGGAGAATTAATCTTCTTCCTTGGGCTTCAAATCAAGCAAGTACAGATAGGGATTTTCATTAGTCAAACAAAGTACACAAAAGAGCTCATCAAAAAATTTTGCATGTCTAATGCAAAGGCCATAGGGACGCCTATGAGTCCGTCAACTACCTTGGATGAAGTTAAAGATGGTAAGAGTGTCGATGAGATAATGTATCGAGGTATTATTGGTTCTCTACTCTATCTTACAGCTAGTCGACTAGAAATTATGTTTAGTGTTTGCAAATGTTCAAGATATCAGTCAGTTCCTAAAGAGTCCCACTTGACTATTGTTAAACGTATTATCAGATATTTGATAGGGACAGTCGACTATGGATTGTGGTACGAAAGTTTAGATATCTTTGATCTCAAAGGTTTTTCAGATGCAGACTTTGCAGGAGATAAAATTGACAGGAAAAGCAGAGTGCAACGTGCTAGTTACTTGGAAAATCTCTTATATCCTGGCACAACAAGAAACAAAGATGTGTAGTCCTATCTACTACTGAAGCGGAATATTTGGCTGTAGGCAACTGCTGCACACAAGTTCTATGGATTATGCATCAACTGTTAGATTATGATTAACGCCTTAACTGTGTTCCTATTATGTGTGATAACACTAGTGCTATTTGTCTATCAAAAAATTCTGTGCATCATTCTTGGCCTAAGGATATTGAGATTAAGAATCATTTTATACGTGATCATGTAGCTAAAGGCAATATTGTGTTAGAATTTGTCAATACTAAAAATCAGTTAGCGAATATTTTTACAAAACCATTGCTTGAAGAAAGATTCTGTTTCCTTCATAACAAAATTGGTGTTTGTACAATTCCCGTCTTACTGTGCTAAGTGTTTTCTATAATTGTCTAAGTTTATAATTTTTTCTATAAATATTCTTCGTAATTTTTGCCCAAAAAATCTTTTAGTACTTGATTAGTCTGTACATGCTTTAATTGTTGAACTGACGGCGGGCTTACAGAAGGCAACTTTTCAGTTTCTCTTCGTCTCTCCAAGAATCGAGGCATCTATTCAAACTCCTTTTAAACCCTTCCCCCTCGATCATATCTCCCATTCTCTCAAAGAAACTCAGTCTCTCTCTCTCTCTCTCTCTCTCTCTCTGTCTCTCTCTGTCTTTGTTCTCTTTTACTCATGGCCAAAACCAAACCCTCTCCTTACTCCTCCATGCCCAGAAGAAGTTATTGCTTCAAGAAAAACCATCAAACTGATGATCCTGTTGATGTAGAATCGTCAGAAAGCACAGACCGTCTATTGACCGAGGATGATTCAAGTGATTCTCAAGAAGATATTCTCATCTCTGAAAAGAGTGTTGAAAAGCGTCCAATGGAGTCCATCCCCAAACAATCTTCTCAAAAAAGAGGTAAAACTGAAAGTATAGAGTTTGGTCCTGAAGACGAGATAAATTTCTATGGCCCCGAAGAGAAGGCCAGGTTTGTTGCTTTTAAAGGAAAGTTGATTGCTTATGGTCGCACTGTAAGTTTGAAATCTATGCAAAACTCTCACTGTGATGTTATCGCTATGTTTGAAACTCAGAAACTTGTCTCTTTATTTGCTATTGTTGGTGATACTGTTTATGAAGAGCCTGTGCGTATGTTTTATGCAAATCTGTTTGTGAATGATAAAGATGATCTAGAATCCATGGTTTTAGGAACTCGTATTATACTTGGCGCTTATCAGTTTGAGAAAATCTTTGCAACAAAGTTTGTTGGGTATAGTCTATTTGTGTAACATTCTTGGCCTGATAATTTTGAAGTGTCATTTGACGAAGCCAAAAGTGTGTTGTCCGAAAACCCCCTGATATTGGTCCAAAAAGTTTGAAATTTGAACACCGTGTACTAGCCCACATTATTGCTACCACTTTGCTACCCTATATTGGTTCACTTAGCACCCTGTCTCTCAGAGATGTATTTATTTTGTACTGTCTGGTAAATCGGAAGGACATTAATTGGTTTGCCTGGGTACGCCAGTACATGCTTGGAAGCATCAGGGATTTTTCATTCTCTGTGAACAATATGTCCTATGGTTTACTAATCTCTCATATCTTGAAAGTTATGAAAGTGGATCTGTCTCTCTATGCTCCTAAAACCATCTTCAACATATATGACAAGACTGCCTTTGCTATGATGGGATATACCTTGATTGAGGGAACGTGGCTTAAGAAAGACAAGGCACCTGAATTCATCCCTAAACAGGGCACTGGAGGGATTAAATCTGAAGCCAGCAAATCCTCTTCCTCATATCAGTTGCTGCTAATGCAGCAAAACATTCCAGGTATCAAGGAATTGCTAACCTCTATGCACGAACATGTGGACAAGATCAGGGCACTAACCAAGGAAATTGAAGCAGATGTCGCTAGGCTAAGGATCACTCTCCAAGCCACAAAGAGGGAAGGAATCAGGGCTACGCAGGATGTAACTGAGAAGCTTACCAAAGTCACCAAAGATATTGATGCCTACTATGACAGTTTCTGCACCAAAGTGATCAACACCCTGAAGTATTTCCTTGGAAGAAATTAAGTGTATGGGATGTTTAGACAATCTTTTTATTTTGTTTTATGTGGTGGATGTTAAAACTATTTCTTTTGGTTGTGTCTGGATGGACATGTCAGTCGACTATCCCCAGTATAACTGCTAGCTGTAAATATTTTTTGCCTGCTTAACTAGTACTATCATTAGTTATTGTTCTTCTTACACTTTTTGATTAATGTCAAAGGGGGAGAAGAAAAAGAGTACAAAGACAGGGGGAGCAACAAACAAGGAAGAGCTCCAAGACAGGGGAGCAGAAATACACTCGTAGAATTGAAGTACCCCTAAATTAGTCGAACTCTTTTAGATTATTGTCATCATCAAAAAGGGGGAAATTGTTAAGTTTAGAATTTCAATAATGTTCAATAATCTAAAGAAGCCTTGACTAATGACATCTCATTGTGTGCAAATTTGGAGAGCAACGACATTGATGAAAGGAAACAAGATCATACTCAACGGCTATGTATTTTGAACTTTGCATCAAATGGAAAAACAATCAATCAATCAAAGAACAAAGAAGGAAAGTCAATCAATCAGCCTTGCCAAGGATCCTCAAGTGTGCAAGAACGGAAAGAGATCTAATCACGGCTAGAGACCAAATCAATAACAATCTGCGGAAGCTCTAATCAAGGAGAAATGGAGGAACCAATTCGTCAAGATTAAGGATGAATCTAGTTACCCTTTCAAGCTAGATTCATGAGGCTACCCTTGGGTATCACTCTTAGATATCTATGCCTCACAAGGAAAGGTCTCCAATAATTACTGCCATACAATCCCAGAAGACAAGGAAATAGAAGACTCATCAAGCTATAAAGGAAGAAGTAGAAGGACATCGAAAGATACGCAACTACATCAGCTGTTTCTACACCTTTCTAGTTCTTAGTACAAACACTGTATTCTTGCGTCTACAAGTGTCGCAAAAGATAGGAAGATTTAGAAAACAAAACGAGTATTGTGTCAATATTAGAAAGAAACATTGTTGCTATATATAGTTGGTGGTGAACGTACTAAAGCAATCACTATTGTAAACTCTTACTGAAGATCTAAGAGAACCCTTGTGACCCAAGGGAACTAAACGTAGGTACCACACCGGTACTGAACCAGCATAAAACTTGCTGTGCCTCATTTACTTTTCTGTCTGCTCAGTTTATTTCTGCTGCGATCAATCACTGTGTAAAGTCTAGTCGACTAATTTCCTACATAGTCAACTAAGATTTTCAAATCGGCTACAATTTACCCCTCCCTTGTACTTTCAGAAGTGTTAAACTCTCATAGAAACTCAATTCGAAGAATAAATTCGCCAAACTCTAAAACATTCAGATTTTTCTTATCAATTGGATTCACATATTAAAGTCTATTGGATATGAGAACGCCGAACTATTGGGTATGTGAACAAAGTCCGATATTGATAGTTGAAAAATTTGAAAGCCTGCATATAAGGTGTAGAGATCTCTTAATGGCATGAGGATTTTTGGAGAAAACTATAGGGGCTTGGACTAAAGTCCACAATATTAATACCGTGTTAAGATTATCTTTGGACTATTTTAGCCAACACGAACCAATATAGACTAGATATGGATGCTCGTGCCATAAGCACGAGCCCAACATCGCTACATTTTCCAATTTATGTAAATATTAATTTAGAGATAGGGTTAGAGAGAGAATACCAATATGAAATTATAATAAGCTCAGAAAAAGATCATACAGGATCACACATGGCAATAAAACAAAAGAAAAAATTGTGAGAATCCACGAGAGAAAAATCTGTTATGATGTTTTATTAAGTATTTTACAACAACCCTATTTATAACTATACACAATACATATTCTACTCAAATTTCATGTGGGACTAGGGTTATTTACATAACTATCTAACACTCCCCCTCAAGCCGTGATGTAAAAGAAGAATCTGTGTTAAATTTTATTGATTTTGGCCAAGATAATATTTTTGAGCTCAAGTCCATACATATGGACTTATTTTCAAGAAGCGCAAGAAGTCCAAGAAGCTCAAGATCGATTTCAAGAAGCCAAGATTCTTTCCTTCTTAAAATACGATTTATTTTATTCCTTTTAGAATAAGGATTTTCCTTTTAGTAGGATTGTAGTTTCTTTTCCTTGTTTAATAGGGATTTTACTTTCCTTGTCTTTATATATTTTATTTCCTTATTAGAATAGGAATTGTAGTCATCAAAGAAGAGACCCTAGGCCTATATAAAGGGTTCTCATGCCTTGTAGAGTAAAAAATTCACGTTTTTAGGCTTGCCTTAGTTTTACAATAGAGTGTTTTTCTCTAGTTTGCCTTCTTTATCCTTGTTTTTGGTTCCAAGCAAGGTGGTGATAATCTTTATCTTGTTTTCAGTTGCGTGTGGTATTTCTTTATCACGTTAATTGATTCCAAGTGGTGACTTTAGGAACTTGTTTAGTTCTTGATCTTTCAAGAACACGTTTCTTGATCTAAATTCGTTCTTTTGATTTCATAGAATCATAACTTTCATTGAAATGGTGGAGAATCAATATTTACTTGTTCTGAATGTGTAAATAGCCTTTCTTTATAGTTCAGATCATCAGTTTTCACCTCAGTTTTGAATCATCAGATTCCGATTCCTAAAACTTGAGATACATAGTTTCTTGAAATCGACCAACAAATCACATTTTTGTTTCAAGATCTTGATTCTGGTCGGTTGGTTCTTTGTTAACTCGAAGAATTACATCAATTTGGTATCAGAGCTATAACCTACAGGTCCAAATACTGAGAAATCATCATGTCTAAGATTCAACTAAGAGAAAGAATCTTAGTTCAAGGAGATGAAGAAACAAGACCACATAATCTCTTTTCCATACTAGATGTACCTCCCATGGAAAAGTTTGTTCGTTGATTATTGATCGTGGGAGTCACATAAATATCGTTTCTGAAGAGATGTTTATTAAACTTGGTTTGTCAACCAATTTT